TTGATCTCAGTTCAAAGGAAAAAATAAAACTTATTTCTAAATTTACAAATTTCACCTATAAACCTCTTAATTTCACAAAAGAGTGGGTTCTTTTCCAAACAAATACATCCTGCTTAATATTGTGTGTTTAGATTTAGATCTTTTGCTTTAACTTAGGAAACTGAGATCATTTTAGATACTATTTCTGTAAACTAAATTTTTTTTTCATATTACTGTAAACCTAAAGTGTTTTGATAAACTTACTCTGCACTACGGAATTTCCAATTAAAAAAAAATTAATTAAAAAGACCATAGATTAAAAATAAGTAAGGCGTACATATTTTTAATCTATGTTAAAGCATAACTATTTTTACATAATGAAATTTAGTAAATCAAATTATTATTTGTGGCTTTTATTTATTAAATAAATTAAGAACATAATCTCAAAACAAAATTTAATGACAAGAAAGATCGACGTTTCGGGTCCATCATGGAACCATTCTCAAGATCAAGTAAATTGAAAAAACTAAAGGAAGTAAGTAATTTATTTACATATCAATAGGGCCAACTGTGTGGAGCCATAGTGGAGCGAAGCAATAATTAGCCCTTCTTAGCAGATTAACTAGATAAACAGTTTGGCTTTGACTGAATCAGTTTGTTTGTTAAGTGTAGGTTTCATTTCTTTGATCCAAAGCATTTCTTTAATTAAGCAATCAAACTTGGATTTGCACTTAGATAAAACCTTGAAATAATTAACAGTTTCAGTAGCACTATAATAATGATCTTTTAAAATGTTGTCCTATGTTACCTTTACTGTGCATAATCATTTTTTATTTAAAATAGAAGTATTTAATCAATCAGTAACTTGTGTTTTTTTTTAATGAAATTAATGATTTTCCTTAAAAAGATGCTACCCAAGGCGAGACTTTTTTTATACCTTGTTTGACGAACTCGCTGACTATTGTACATTTTATTGTACTGTATATATGTATTCCTAATAAAAAATCCCTAATACTAATTTAACAGCATCTTTTTTTAACGCATGCAATGTTACAATTTTTTAAAGTTGCTTTGTAAGTTACAGTATTGTAACAATTTATTGCCAATATTATTATTATTATTATTGTCATTTCATAAAACAAATGAAATAACAAATAAACAAATTAAGGTTCCCGTAAAATAAGGTATAACTGTAGTTTCTGATTACATAACTAAATAAACAAACCAAAACTTTAATATAATGAAGGAACTCTGTATTTATTCCATAAAATAGATGATTATTCCCAAATAAACAAGAGATAAATAACACCTGGACTTTTAGACTATATGGCATTTAAAAACAAACGGCTTTTATTTATTGGCTACAGCATAGATTCTCAACCAATAAAAAATCTTTTTAAAAAAAAAAATGACCAATTGAATTATACTTAGTTGTCACTTACACAATCACAGTGTATTAGATTACAAAATTATGGACACCCAAAATTACATACATCCCAAACCACATCAGGACCAACTATGGAAGTAATAGTGTCAAATAAAGGTGGACGTAAACTCTGCCATGAAGGCTTTATGAACACAGTACAAAAATCAACTACAAATCATATCTTCTGGAGGTGCGTTGAAAGGACGAACGGTTGCAGATCTCGTTTGATGACAGACCTTGCCGTTATAGAACCAAATATTGCGTCAGATCATAATCATCAACCTGACCAAATAGCTATTAATATAGCAAAGGCACGTGCAGTGATGAAGGGCAGAGCGGTTCAGACCAATGACAATCCAGCTAGGATATGTTCTGAGTCCATACAAGAATTAGACCAGTTAACAAAAATGCATATACCAAAAGAGTCAACCTGCAAACGAACCATCCGCAACCAAAGGACACACGAATATCCACACGAGCCTAATACTCTTGTAATTAGGAGATCTTGTAATTGAAATGGATGGAGAATGGTCTAAAACAAGAGGTGACGATTCCAAACGGTTTCTTCTCTATGACAACGGCCCTGATACTGAAAGCTGCATCACCGTGTTTGCTACTGATGACCACCTCAAAGTATTATCTAATGCTGACGTATGGCTGATGGACGGATGCTTTAAAATGGCTCCACCAGGCTTCCTACAATATGTCATCCATGCACCAATAGGTGAAGTTTCTGTGCCACTTGTCTATGCATTTCTCCAAAGAAAATCACAAGAAACATACGAGGAGCTGCTCAATGCCATCACAAATAACTGTGACATACTAGGATATCCAGTTGATCCTGCTAAAATAAAGTTGGACTTTGAATTTAGTGCTATTCAAGCTGTCAGATTAGTACTAGGAGATGGAGTTGACATAGAAGGCTGTTTTTACCACCTGACACAGTCAACATGGCGCAAAATCCAAGAACTCGGTATTGTTAACCACTATCGTACAGACCCGACCTTCAAGCATTTCTGTGGGATGCTTGACGGATTGGCATTCTTACAGTTGATGATGTTAGGGAAGGCTTTGAACTTTTGCGTGATACTGCACCAGCAGTTGCAGAAGAGTTGCTAAGTTACTTTGACATATGTTAACGGCATTTACAGGCAGCGACATCGACAAAATCAGCAAAACACTGTAGTTCGCCATATTCCGCCGAGATTTCCACCATTCCGCTGGAATGTACATGAACTAACTTTGCATGGCTCTCATCGAACCAATAATTTATGTGAGGGCTGGAACAACCGTTTTAAGAATATCGTTGGCCTTACCCACCCACTTATATGGCGAGCTATCAAGCACATTCAGCTTAAAGAGTCCAGTGCGCAAACTAAGGTGTTGCAAAGCAGTATAGGCAATCCTCCGAAAAGAAGAGAAAATAGGGAACGCATCCGATGACACCAGCGACTTCAAGTACTCTGCAACAGGTATAACCATGATGAAATACCAATTTACGAATTCCTAGAGGGTGTTGGCCACAACATTCGCCTTGGTGGGCAATAATGAGAGTTTTAAAACCCTTAACAAAACACAATTTGAATAATTACGTTTTATGTTGCTATTAAGATACCTGTAATAACATAAAGCTAGTTTTTTATCTCTTTTTATGTAAAGATATGTATAGATAAAAGTTACTTTGTACGATACGTGATGACTAAGTTTATGACGTGTATTAATTGGCTCAAGATAATTATTAACATTCCATACTCTTCCATATTCCTTATAATTTTATGTAAATTAAGATAAAATTTGAGATTTTAACATGCCAGTAGTAAGCTTGTTTAAAATTGTATTTATGACGTATTGTGTAAAGATAAATTTGACCGTAACATACCATATTCTTGTTAAAGTAATGTATTCTTTTATTAAATTTCGATTAAGATTAAAATTGAGATTATTGACATACCATATCCTTGTTAAAGTATGCTTTTATTCAATTTAAATTAAGATTAAAGTTGAGATTATTGACCATAACATACCATATTCTTTAAAAAATATGCTGTTAGATAAAACTATGCTTTAAATTTAACATATATTTTGCGTTACTTGACAGTAACATACCAGCTTCTTCAACATCAGTTGACTCCATATTTAACTTATTTTAAATTTACCAAATACATTATTTTGTGTTAATTGACCGTAACATACTATATCCTTTTTGAAGTATGCTTTTATTTAAATAAAAAATAAAGTTGAGACGGCATGTCAGTGATACATTAATCTTGTTAAAAATTGTATTTATGTTTTATTGTGTAAAGACGAAATGTTTGTACCATTCCATATTTATTTGTAGCATTCAATATGCTTGCATTGTGAGTTCAAAGTTGAGATTACCGGCCCGCAACATACTATATTCTTTTTAAAGTATGCTTTTATATAAAAATTACCGCACTACAATTTAAATATGTTGTGTTTATTGAACTCAACATACCAAATTCTTCAACATCAGTTGGCCCCCATATTTAATTTATTTATAATTTAATTTAGAGTATATTTGTGTTAATCTAAGCTTTATCATAACCTGAAAAAACTGAGTTTGTATTCCTGATCAATAGCAGATATTTGTGAGTACAAACATTGTCAATAGTAGTTCACCTTGATGTCGAGACTGAATAAGTTCTATTTTTTAAAATGTCAGATTGTCTCTTGTTTTACTTTTTAATCTGTCTAAAGCCATTATATATATGACTGTGAAAATGATGATGAAGATGATGATAAACTAATATTTGAGTGACTGTTTACCAAAGCAATATATTACTAATACATAAACTATGAAACAAATACAGTGGCAACTAGTTCTACAGCATAATTGTGGTGATGACATGTTATTTATTAATATTATTTATATTTTTTAATCTATGGTCTATTTTATTTATTTCATTTAATTATTCCTGCAAAAAGTAATATAAATGGCAACTTATGTGACATTACCAGTTGATTTTTAAAAAAAGGTTCTCGTAATCTTGAAAGCTCTGATGACAAGGCTTTTTGTAGACATCATTACACACAGTGGCAGAACTTATATTGGGATTTTCAGCGCAGGCTTGTGATTACCCTTCCTTCAACTAACAGGTCACCTTGTAAATAGCATTTTTATTAATTTTTTGTACATTAACTGTGACATGTCTGTCACAGTCTTGAGAGTGTCATTTCTGGCCATCCAAAGGTTCCAATTCTTTAATTAAAAAAAAAGATATTTAATACTTGGACTTGTTTTCAATATAAACATTTCGTGTTTTTTCCGTTTTAAAATGTTTGTGCTCGTTAGCAATTTAGATTTATTGTTGATGTTATCCATGACAGTAATACGTACCGCGAAATGCTAGGCCTCTGAAAGTCCTTATAGTTGGTAGTCGCCACGTTATTGGAAATTTTTATTTCAAATTTCGAGAAAATGGTTTATAACATTCCCTGCAAGTTCATCGTTCAAAACTGGTGCCGAATCAATTTTTAGAGCCTCCCATCAGAGCCATTAATAATAATATTTTAATAATTGACCGCAAATATATTAATAATATCTAATAATATTGATAATTTAAAAAAATACTTAGTCCTACTCCCAGAGCTACTCATAGGAGCTAAAAACTAATTTATTTTAGTTCTCAAATGTGCATATTCTTTATGCTGATACATTAAGTAAATTTTTGCTACAGGGTATTTTACAGCATTTACTTATTATTATTTTTTTCCCTTGAATTTTATAATTGGGGGCCAATTTTTTTTCTTGATTCAATTCTTGCTTATACAGTATTTAAATATTGAAGATTTAAAAAAATATATATCATTTCTATTACCGAATTTTTCATTGGGGCCATTTTTACCAGGGCCATTTTTTCCAGGGCCATTTTTTCCGGGGCGATTTTTTCCGGGGCCATTTTTTCCGGGGCCATTCTTACCTACATTCGTATGCATTACCCAGCTTGTTGTTTCTAGGTACTATCACATATTATGAAGGCTATTTCACAATCTATATAGGCTTAATCATGAACACAAATACATCCATACGCCCCTCCAACAAATACTCATGCTTCCCCAGTCCCTCGCTTCCCCAGTCCCTCTCTTCCCCACTAAAAATGTCATACTTTAATTAGTTAAAAATCACAAAAAAATTACAGTATTTTGCAAGCTAACGTCCCTCACAAATTATGAAGCCTCCTTCCCGTCACCCATCAGCCCCACCCCAATTTCAATACTCCTAAATACACTGATCGCCACATTTTGCGACTCGCAACTCGCATTTTGCGACTCGCATTTTGCGACTCGCTACTCGCATTTTGCGACTCGCCACTCGCATTTTGCGACTCGCAACTCGCATTTTGCGACTCGCAACTCGCATTTTGCGACTCGCCACTCGCATTTTGCGACTCGCCACTCGCATTTTGCGACTCGCAACTCGCATTTTGTGACTCGCAACTCGCAGAAAAGAAACCCTCCCCATAATGCTGCAGCTGTAATCAGCGTTTGAACCTATAGGCGAGCAGATTACGGCCCAAAAGTCCTCTAAAAATCGTAAAGGTGGCAATTTGGATATTTTCTGAAAATATAGGTCTTGAGAAGTTCAGAACTCAAAATTACCCAAAATCCCTTTGGGGGAACACCTCCAAATTACGCATTCAAAATGGCCCCCATTTTCCGCTTTAAATTATAGTTTTAGCTAAATTATATAAAAAAATAACATCACTCGAATAATCATCATCAAAAATTGGTGAAACTTACTCAAAATATTCGTTAATTATCGAAAATGAATCTTGCGTTAAGAAAAACTACAATTTCAATCACCATAGCAACCGTTGCTATGCAAATTTAAATTTCCTATTTTATTCATGAAATTTAAGTATACAGGAAGATTAAAGTTTATTAAATTCTTTATTTTCATAGGTTTTATGAATATGTTTAACATCTGAATTATCTATTATTATCGTAGAATAGGATTATGTAAAAAAATGCTGAAACTTTTATATAATTGCATAGGAACACTCTTTTTATCGTCCATAGCAACGAAGCAAAATCAGCAGAATTGCACATACATTTGTCATTGACCAAGCAAAATCATGAGATACAATATATTTATATAATAAACATCTCTTATTGAACAAAGTTAACACATTGATGTATAAAATACAAGGTCATCACCATAGCAACTGTTGCTATGCAAATTTGAATTTCTTATTTTTTCATAAAATTATTATATAATGAAGACCTAAAGTATAGTAATAAATTAGTATAGGATTTATGAAAAAATGTTTATTAAATATCTTAAGATAACACAATTTAGTATGAAAGCAGGGTCATCACCATAGCAACTGTTGCTAATTGAAATATCCTATTTTTTTGTAAATTATTAAAATGAAAACCTGAAATTTATTAATATAATTAAAGGTTTCGTGAGAGATGTTTAGTTAATATTGTAAGATAACATAAATGACAGATAACATCTTAATGTGAATACAATATTGATAGTTATCGCCATAGCATTGAATAAAAATCATTAGAATTTGCTGTTTATTTGGCTTTACATTTTTTTAAATAACACACGGTCTTTGTTTAAAAAAAGGTGTACATAATAATGTTAAAATAGGTAATCACCATAGCAACCATTGCTAGCAAACTTAATGAAAACTTGTAAGTTTAATGAAAAATTTTTATTAAATGTTTATTAATATTTATTTCATTTTATCAGATCAACAGTGAATCATTACCACTAAAACATATAAAACTTAAATATCATAGGAGAACATTAATAATCAATTTCAAATATAATTTCATATATTGCATCACAGTATGGTTTTTAATTTCCATATAAAATAATTTTGGAAATTTAATGCAGTGGTTTGTAGAACAAAACGTCATTACCATAACAACCATTTCTACGCACACTTTAATGTATAATGAAAAATTAAAATGTAATAATGTTATTAATATCATAAGATAATATTCAGTTATAATACGGTACATCTCAAAATAATTCCACATACATTTATGATTAAACAAATTATGAAACAGTGGTGTAGAAAAATACAGTGTCCTCACTATGGTAACAATCACTATATAGACTGAGACTAAACATTAATTTAGGGAC